CACAGGATCTCGTCGTAGCCGAGTCTCTGATGCTGAAGCACATTCATTGCTCTTTTAAGATGACATTATGAAATTATAATGACGACATAACTTTGAAGTCTGGGAAGGTTTCAGAGGCTGTATGGTGAGTTACAAAAACAGCCCACATTCCTACAAGGACTAAAACTGCTCTCATAGTCACTCCGTGGAGACCACCACATACACCGGCCAGGGTTTGGGGAACAGGGTCGGTCCCCAAGGCAGGCATTCACCCAGAAGCTCTCTGCCCAACACTAAACCCAGACATGGGTCCGAGGGGCACACATGCTTCTTTCTCTACACCTAGAAGAACAGCTCATGGTTTATTGAGCACAGGACGTTAGCAGAACATTATCAGGGCACAGGATAAATATAATGGACTTGAAGTTCCTGTTTTCCCCTTGTTCTGGGCCTTCAATTTCTGTTCTTGACACTCAACTGACTAAACACAAGGAGCAGGTCTAACAGTCAAGCAGAGGATTGGTGGAGGTCCTCAGGAAAGATGGCTGTTGGTGCCGAAGCCCATGCTCCTGAGAAGAAGAAACCCAGTGTAGGCAGAGCAGCTCGGCTGTGCAGGGCATCACAGTCCCTGGGGGCCAAGTGCCGCAACGCAGAGCTGGGAAGACCACAGCTCCTGGGGAGATCTGTACTGATTCTCGTTGATCAGAATGGACAGGGCCCAGCCTGCCCCCAACTTACCCCCTGGTAGAAACAGCTGATAAAACCACGGGGTGAACAGGAACGCACCGGGGCAGAGGGAGCTGTGCAAGTGGTAGAAACAGTCTCCGGTGGCAGTGGGTCTAAAGTCCACCCTCCATCTCAGGGACTGAGGCAATCCACCGTGCGACCAGCACGCTGGTTTCATACAAGAGGTTCGTAGCATAGAAGTTAACTAGTGAGATCAAAATAAACACACAAGACTCAATTACCTTTTTCTTTGACCAGGTCCGAGACGGCCCTCCCTCTAGCTCTCACCTCGAACCACCCGGTGGGGCAGCAAGGCTTACTCAGGGCTAGCAGAAGAGAGAGAGAGAGCACGCCAGGGAATGGCCTTTTATTGGAGAACAAGAAATTCAGGGGAAAATTCCATCCAATGAAGGTCAAGGGGGGCAGCATTCCAAGGTCAGGGTCAGTGATTGGTCTCAGGGTCAATGGTCAGTCACACCCCCACACGGACAGGCTCTCGCACCAGGAGAGGGTGGGGATAAGCTCCGATACAGTTTGGCCAGAACACCTCACACCCAATCAGGGACGTGCCCAATCACGTGCGAGAATGGCTCCCCACAAGGCAATACTTGACTTCCTTCTCCACCTGGTAAACAAGGACAAAGCAGTCGACTTGAACTCAGTCTGGCTCCCAGTGGCCACAGAACTACGTGGGGACCCTCCCTGGGCTGAGCCCAGACATCTGCCCAGTCATCTGCTCAGCCAAATCTTGACAGGTGAAAAAGTAACTAAGTCAAGGACAGTAGGGCTGGGGATGTGGCTCAAGTGGTAGCGCGCTCGCCTGGCATGCGTGCGGCCCGGGTTCGATCCTCAGCGCCACATACAAACAAAGATGTTGTGTCCGCCAAAAACTGAAAAATAAATATTAAAATTCTCTCTCTCCCTCTCTCTCTCTCCCTCTCTCTTTAAAAAAAAAAAAAGGATAGTAATTGCCTCAGACTTTCCTTTGTGAACCACACAAGCAAGCTGAGAACAGAGTGAGACATCTACAGTATTGAAAGAAGAAAACCATCCACCAAAGCCAGGTGCAGCAGCACACACATGCAATCCCAGTTGGGAGGCAGAGGCAGGAGGATCACAAGTTCAAGGCCAGCTTCAGCAACTTAGTGAGACTCTGTCTGAAAATTAAAAAAAAAAAAATTAAAGGTCTGGTGATGTATCTCAGTAGTTAAACACCCCTGGATTCAACCCCTAGTAACAAGCGTGTGCATGCGTGTGCGCACGTGCGCGTGCGCGCGCGCGCACACACACACACACACAAGAAAGAAAATCATCTACCAACCTAGAATTCTACATCCATCAATACTATGCTTCTGAGGTGGTGAAATAAAGGCTTTTTCAGGGACAGAAAAACAGAGAGAATTTGTTACCAGCACACTTGATTTGCAAAAAAATGATAAAAGGAATCCTTTAGGGAGAAAGAAAACGACATAAATCAGAAAAATCAGACCTACACAAAGAAAGAAATAGTATTAGAAATGGACCAAAAAAAAGTAAAGTAAAAAGGTTATATTTCTTATTTCTAAATGATCTAGAAAAACTACTTGTTCAAAGCACTAACAACAACAATACAGTAGGAGGTTATAATTCATGGGTAAGTGAAATGAAGGACAGGAACATTTCAGGGATGGGAGACAAGGACTGGAAACACTGTTGTAGACACCTGCACTGCTCAGGAGGTGCCAGGAGTGACGAGTTCTAGAGCTATAGCTCAGTGGGTAAAGTGCTTGCCTCACATGCAAGGCCTTGGGTTCAATCCCAGTGCCACACACACACAAAAAAACTGGTGAGTTCTAAGTGCACATTGCAAATTCAAGGGAAACCACTCAAAAGTAAAAAATAAGAATGTTTAGAAAGGAGAAAAAGTGGAATCACATAAACTGCCCAATTAAAACCAGAAAGAACAGAACAAGTGAGAGATTTACAATAAACAATGAATAACAGGGCAACAAATAGAAAACAGTAATAAATATGGTAAATATTAATCTATCTCAATAATCACTTTAAACATCAATGGCTCACCTCAATTACAAGGCAGAGACTGATTTGGGATTAATAATTTAAAAAAATAAGACTAACTAGTGTGCTGACATAGAAAAACGTATGTCCAAGTTTTCTTTGTGTGTGTGGTGCTGAAGCCAGATTTAAAGTTAGGTAGTCAGTGTAGTTAGGTAAATCGGGTCTAATATGGGTCTAATATCGAGTGAAATCTAAAATGGAGACCATGCTGGAGACCATGCGGAGAGTGACTCAGGGAAAACACAGGACAACTCATGGAATGTTAATGAAGTCCCTAAAAGGCCCTAGGCCAAAGTCCACCTCAAAGAAATGTTAATGAACAGCCCCCAGCAAAAAGGTGCTGACTCAGAAGTCCTTCCTGACCAGATTACTTCTTTGGCCCACCTGTGTCCCACCCCTCGGTCCTTCCCACCTACATTCCATCACTGAAAGAACTATAAAAAGGGGAGACAACATCCCTTCCACGGATTCCACCTCTTGGGTCCCCTTCTTCCTCTGGGAGAAGTCTTTTCTGCTGTCCTTTAATAAACTTCTAATTTCTACTCTGACCTTGCCTCGGCGTGCTTCTTTGGTGTTATTCTTCAACATTGGGGAAGCAAGAACTCGTCACCGGTCAACAGCGGTAACA